AAATGAATTGCTCCCTGGCTGTGTATTCTTAAATGATCCCAAATAATTCTTCCCTCACCTTCAAATAAACAAAAAGCTTTTCTTTTTCTTCTCAGATGTGTAGCGTGTCACTACCATGCTACCCTTGGGAAGGTCTACCACAAGACATTTAGATCTAGCCACAAAGCCACCTGAAAGGTTTCCACATGTGCTGCATGCCTTCAGAAGAAGCCAGTCTGCATGGGACAGGAACTCCCTGTGCACTTTGGGCAGGCTCCCCATCACTTTCTGGATATTATATTGCTTGCTATTGAAAAGCACTGGCAGCATAAATAACATGGTCCATCTACATGGCTGTATAAAATTTATGTTCACACAATTCTAGGATAGAATTGTTTTATTTCATCAAAACTTGGTGAGTTTTAGAAAGCAACACCTTTTCAATGAATGACTAATATTAAAAGGATGGTCTAAAAAAGTTATAGAAATGTCCTCATTTTGCAATAGCTCTCTTTGTGAAGGTCTATTTACTGTTTGCCTCACCCTTCTAAGCCATCTCATGCTTCTAACCTCAGGGGGAAAAAAGCCCAACCATTTTTATTACTGCCCAGGTACTTCTGCCTTCATACCTAATATACAACCTGGCAATTTTCTGCTCAGAGAGTAGTGATGAGGGAAAAATAGAGCATGTATTTTTTATGAACTTGCCCGAGAATCTGCTGTTAGTGGGACTATACCCAAATCTGAGTGCCTGCTATGTGCCTTCCTCCCCTTGTATCCCTCTTGAATCACACAAAGATGTCCCTGTCTCTGCTCTGACAGGTTGCAAAGTGCTCCCTGTACTGCAGAAGTTAACTGATCTCAGTCTTTGGACAAGCAAATGTGCAGGAGAAAAAAATTATCTCACCCCTGTCTGATAACAGGAGTTAGAATACACACCTTTACTGAAGTACAGGAACAGGATTAGGTAAAACTTCTCATTAGGCCAACTGATGTGACCTATGGGCTATGCTCTTGCATTCAAAAGCTGTGACAGCAGCAGAGAAATCCAGTGGCTTACTTCATAATCAACCAAGCCTTCAGTTCCCAGAAATCAGTACTGTTCCGTTGGCTCCAGTTAACCATGCGTGTTTACATCCATCTGTGAAAGCATTTTGAATTTGTTCATTTGTTTGTTACTAGCTTCATAAAACATGCTGGCACCTGCCATCATCTCTGAAGTCAACAGAAGTCCCAGGGCTATTTCCCATGCATCCAATCTGGCATTTGATACAGCCCTAACTAGATTAAGAACTTGTGTTTGGGTAATGAACTTTCAGAGCCATACATGAGTGCCAAGTTGAGGTTCACAAGAAATTCAGGGGCAATACACCCAGGGCAGGCTTCACATGCCTTTGGGGCATAATTGGAGAAGAATGTTAAATCCTTTCCTAAATAAGCAAGAGAGAAGGCCCTGGCACAGGGCATCGTCTGACTCCACAGCAATTACATCTGCACAGCTTTCAGCACTTCATCCTTTGTAGCACTCCTCGTCCTTCCTAATGAAGGAGAGAAAAGAAAAGCAAAAAGAAAAACATCTGCAGGGCTCAGTACCTAGAGCACTATGTTATCCCTATGTAAATCCAAGTATCTCCATGGGTTTCAACAACGAATTAAGGTGGATTTAGCTACCTGTGGAGATACTTGGCTTCTGAATTCTTCTCAGCACTCCTCATGTAGCAAAGAAAAATCTCTCTACATCAGCAAGATTTATTGATGAAGTTGTTCTGTAACGTTAGTAGCTTTTGTGAGAGGTTACAATGAAATGTGAAAAGACAGAGCAGCAATGTTGGACATTTCTCAAGCTGGAAGTATCACAGCTGAAGACTCAGTTTCTCTGGTAAATGAATATAGTTAAAGAAATTTCTAGCTTCAATCTTTTGGTGTCTCCCTTCAACTCATATTGGCAATTGATAAATCATGTACTGTCAGAATGACTCTACTGATCCATGAGGTTAAAAAGAAAAAAGTGAATTGTCCAGGACCATGAATCATTACTTTGATTGAATCAATGTGAGCTAGCTTACATCAGATCTGATTTTACCTTAGAAGAGGCTCGTGTGTACTGCACATCCAGAAAAGTGTATGTGAATTTTATGTCTGAGAATTGGCTCCAGGATACACAACGGAACTGGTAGCAATTTGCTCTGGTTTTAGCTAAACGTTTCACAAGTGTTGGCACTACTACAACTTCATACTGAAACTAGTACAGATGTTATGGGCACAAACTGCTTTTCTGGAGATGGATAAGCTCCAGGAAAACTGGGCTCTGTGTCACCTGTATGTAAGTTGCCTGGTGAAAAAATTGGCATTACCCAGAATTCCCAGATGCCCTGAGATGTTGGTCAATGGTAGCAAAGAGAAATCTACATGTCCACATAATTTCTAATTTCTTGGGCTTTGGAAGAAACTCAGTTTCCTGTCTGGAAATATCTTTAGAAGCATCACACACCAGAGCAGAAAGATGATGGGTCTCTCTCATGCAGTGAATTGTCCTTGAAATCAGACATATCCTCATGGTATTTTAACATACATGAGAGTCCAATTCATTTATATATTACTTTTCACTACACATTTATGAGAACTGAAAGTAATTATACCTGTCCTCTTTCTAGAGATGAGAGAACTGGAAGAAAACCTGGCTCATTCAAAGCAATCACTCAAGAACTAGGTCAGGATTAGAAATCTTTAAGGAAAAAAAAAATGCAACAGCTCTTCAGGAAAAAGAAAAAAGAACTGAAAGAGAGGCTTACTGTCTGCAGATGTATTGTACATTTATGTTGCCCAAACTCTTTTAGAAACTTGTGGGCATCCGTGATCCCAATACTAATGAGTTCTGCCTTTATCTATGTAAATTGAGTATTTACTTTCACTGGTAAACTACAAAGTGTTTATCTTATAATAAGAGATAGCAGAAAGTGAAAGAAAATTACCATGTTTCTTTTGTAGCTTGGTATGTAATGCTGCTCAGGACTCACAGGAGAATAAGATTACAACACTGAAAATTCTTTATCTCTTATTTTGGAAAATCATTTTCCTCTGTCTAATCTTTTCCATTATCAATTTACACTGTTCATGTTATTTCAGAAGAGATTGAAATGAGCACAATACCCAAAACAAGTGTCTTTGGTACATATGACGACAGAACAATCTTTTCATTTGACTCATCTGGTTCTGTTTCTTATAACACCATGCAAATGGACACCTTTTGTAAGATCTAGCAACATAATACACTCAAAAACTTCAGGACACTTGTTTGGCAATGGTGATTTTTTTTAGCTACCTATTTGTGTAGCTTAATTAGCAAAACTTTTATTAGAGTTTTGCACCTTTACCTCTAGTGGCAAAATCTGTAGAAATAATAAATTTCTCTCACTCTCCATTAGTTTCTAAGAAGACTAATATTTTAACAATATTGCTTCCTTGCCTGCTACTCAGCTACTGACATTTTTACTGAAGTCTCTCCCAAAGCAGGGGAGGCCTGACAGTCATCTCTTTGGTTTTCCATATCCTCCATATCCTGAATTACAGGTAAGATATTGGATGTTTCTAGATGAACATTTTGCTCTTGACAGGATCACCAGACACATCAATCAATGCACCCATAGCTTTGCCTGTGCTGCAACAGCAGCAGGTTAGTTTGTAATTGTTGTTCCATGCCGCACAAAGCCGCCTGTACCTTTGATTACCCATGACATTACATTAGCACCCAGCTCTGTTGCCAGCTCTCCTTCATTAACAACACCAAACAACACTAAAAGCTCATTTGTTCTCTGTGGTGCAGTGGCAAGGAGAAAACTGCCTGCCCACCAGTGGGGATGCTGCAGCTGGTCTCACAAAGCAGCAGCCTGGAAGAGAAAACCCACTCACAATTCAGTGTCTTCAGGTAGTTTTAGGGAACTGGTGAGACCCATGCACCTAAATTTGTCTCCAGCATCAAGGTCTAAGAGAAAAATCCCAGCAAAGTGCCCAGGGCAGTGCTGGATTTTTCAAGGTAGAAGAGCCTTTCTGTCAGGTATATTTTTAACTAACCTTTAACCATAAAACCTCAAATATTTTCCTTTTACTTATTTTTTTTTTTCCTGACACAAAGACAGCATAGAAAATAAAGAGGGAGGAAGCTTCCTACATCTCTGCAATTGTCTCCATCATGACAGAATTTGTTCTCGGTCACGCAGGGTGGGATTGATGCAGTGTAAGAAATTTTGGAGCCTTATAACTGATGACTGCTTGGGAAAGCACAGTTGCTCTTTCAGCTACTTCTCAGCACCAGCAAAAAAATAACTTCTACATTTTAAAATTTTCAGATTCAGATTACATTCATGTTTTGTGATGAAAAGGAGAAAAAAAGTACACGTCCAAGATTTTCAAGAAAAACAAAAACTTCCCATCTCAGAAAGAGCTGAACAATCTCTATAACTACTTGTGTGGCTAATTAATGTGTATAATTACCATGTACCAAACATTGTGACACTAGAGTTTTGTTAGGTTTTATTCAGTTAGAATGATGGGGAAGCTGTTGGGTTTTTCCCCTCAGGAAGTCACAACGCAAAAAAGGACTTAATTTGACCCAAACTCTGAAGCATGACGCGAAGAGCGCATATCCCTCACACTAAGCAGAGGCAATTTGAATTACAGAATCACAGAGTCGGAAAGCCCCCGCTTGCCGGCGGGGAGGCGAGGACGAGAAAGGTCAGGGCAGGTCCGCGGGGACGATGGCGAAGCGACGGGCCAGCTCACGGTGCCTCCGTTTCCCGGCACCCACGGGACGGAGTTTCCCCGCGCCGGGCAGCGCCGCGAACCGCGCATCTTCCCACGGGCACGGGAGGGGGCGGGGCGCCGCCATGCAAATCAGGCTCTCGCAGCCAATAGGCGGGCGAGCCGGCCAGAGGGGCGGGACGCTCCACTTCGCTCCGCGGGGATGAGCGCTCGCCTCGACAGCGCGGGCTCTGCGGCGGCATCGGCACCTCCGACACCGGCACCTCCGATACCACCGGCACCTCCGACACCGGCACCTCCGGGAGCGGCAGCGGCACCTCGGGGAGCGGCGCGGGCGGAGCGGCACAGGAGCGGCCGGACTGCCCGTCCCGAGGGTGAGTACCTGCCGCGACGGGGGAGGACGAGACAGCGCTTTCCTCGGGGCCAGGCAGGGTTTGGTTTCTTCACCCCGGGCACAGCCGGTGCTGGTTCCCGGGACGGGGGCACAGCCGTATTCCCGAGCTGCCCTGAGCTGGAGTTCCCGGACGCCGAGGGCAGTGCTGGGAGCCCGGACTAGCCGCCCGTTCCCGGGCTGTCGGGGCGCTCGGCACCTCGGTCTTGCCTACGAGTAGAGGAAACTGCCCCTTTTGAGTCGAGTGACAAAGTGTGAAGCCCGGAGGCAGAGAGATGATAGGATATGCGGACTGGGCTTTTGGGTCCGAAGATGTCTAGCCCTGGTCCTCATAGAATACAAAAGGGATAGCTGGGTTTTCACAGGATGAGAGAAAAACAGAGGCACTTTCAAATAGATGTCTGCATTCCCACTGCTTTGTTTGTCTGGCTTAACGAGTATTAACATTTTATTCATAGTGCTCATACATGGTTATGAATAGCTCCACAGCAGATTTTACAGAAAATTGGTTTAAATGCAAAATTTGATAGCTTTTCCTTTGTTCTTGAGTGTCATCATGGCAGATCTAGAAGTGGGTGCAAAAGTTAGCGTTCTTTGATTGCTTCCGATTAAATTGATACTCATTTCCTTCCTTCCAAGAAGAACTGGCCCTCATGAATGTCAGAGATAACTACATGTCACTCTGATACTGAGAAAGGAAATGACTAGAATAACAGCACTGGCCAAAAACGGACGCTTGCACTTCTTGTTCCTGTTCCTTAGAGCGTATTTTAGCAACTGTCTTTTAAGCTGTCAGGTATCAAAATGGCAAACTATGACTTTTTAGGATGAGAATACAAATTGAATGATGATGCTTTCTTATCATTGCTGATACTCGCTATTTAAATAGTAGTGAGACTACAAGATGACCATAATATTTTTTTTTTAATTCAAAATAGACCAGAGATCTAACAGATGAACAGAATAAATGTCATCATTAGGAAAGGATGGTTTAGGTGTCCAACTCCTCTGATGACCTTTTTTCTCTGACTGCCTTGTATGCCCACTGCTCTGAAACTGAAATTGCGTGTTCTGTCATATGTTATCTGGTGGTTTGGCTGAGACTAAAACTGCAAGTTACACTCTGTTGTTGAAAGACATCTCCATGACGAAAGTAATCATGGTACAGAAGATCATTAGAATGAGTGAAATGTGGTACCTTCAGGGCACTGGTAGATAAATATGATGCTATGGAATGCAACTGCATGCTCTATCAGTGCTGGAGAATTTGGGTGCTGTAGGATTAGGCTCCATGTCTGACATCACTATACTAACAGTATACTAACACTAACAGTAACCAAGACCTGCTTCAGAAGGAGAAATTGTAGTTGCCACTGGTGCATAAATAATCGAGAAGGAAGATAATCTGTTGCATGAAAAGAGTCACCTAAATTTCTCCCCAGCATGGGCAGCACTGTGTGGACTAACACTTTGTGCTGGACCCACAGTGACACTGGGGCTGAGGGCATGGAACAAATCCTGGGAATGCAGGGCCACTGTGGGACTGTAAGACATTTCTTTATCCATTTGATGCACTGGAGCTGTGCACCTCAATCAGGCCTGAGAGGGCTTTCTGTATCTTCTCTCTTTCTGTCAAGGAAGAAGGTCCCCTAACCCACAGTGCTTCCACAGAGAAATGGTCTAATTTTCAGTAAGGCACAGCCAGTTCAAAGTAGGCCTTGTGAAAGAAATTGATTACTTTGCGTGTTTCCAGTGTCGACACAGGGATCAAACTGACCATCTGCCTTTCCATAGAAAACTCCTTTTATGTCTTGGAGTACTGTCTCTCCCTCCCTGGTCTTCTGAATTAAATGAAGATAATTCCTTCTGCTCTTCTTTCTCCAGGAGTGTATTTTCTAAAATGTTTGGAGACAATTATATACCAAATATGCTTCCTTTGACTTTCCTAATGTGATAACTGTTTCAGGATGCACTTTTCCAACTGAGGCCTTATCTATGCCAAGCAGAGTAAAACCAGTCCTTCCCAAGCCATCTCTCATTTAAGACATTAGGTTTTGGGTTTTTTACAATGACCCTATATTGTGAGCTTGTTTTGTGGCTTGCAATCAGCTATAACCTCACCAATGCCTTCCTAATGCCAAACTAGGTGTTTCCTACTTTATATTTGTGTGAATAATTTTATCTAAATGTGCTAGGCTTGACTATATTGAATTTTGTTTTCTTTTTGTTAATTCTTCTCTTACTGTCAAGATCATCAAATTCTCATAATTTCTCCTTCCCTGCCCTCACCAAACACTTGCTTCTACTCCCAGTTCAGTGTCACCTGGAGACTGTACAAGCTCGTGTTTGGTTTCACTCTCCAAGTCACTAATGGAAAATATGGATAATCTCTGAGTGTGACAGATGCCCATCCTAATGCTGATATGTTCAAAACCAGTTCTGATGGTGAGAAGGCAACTGCTGTGTCAAATATGCTGGACCAGATACACTTTCCATTATCTTTTATCTGGCCCATCCATTTTCTTTGACTCTGGTCATTCCTGTAGTTCAAGGATGACAAAGCACGGTGCAGAAGTTACTGAGGCAATGTTAACTTAATCCAGTAAACCCATCTCAGTGCCAAATCTGGGGTTACCACTTTTTGCAGTGAAGCCATTTTTGGTTATGTGTGCATTTTGGGTTATTCCCCAAGATGTGGCCATGAACCAGCTCTGGTGAGGAACACCATTCCCAGGCTTTGGCCTAGGGCTGGCTTCTGGGAACCCCCTGTTGGGTAGTGGGGGGCTCTACATGAGGGTAGCGGAACAATTTGGTTTTTATCTCTGCTTTGATAGGCTAGATGAGCTATCAAGACACTCTACACAATCAGCAAGAGCTCTCACACAGTGCTTGACACTTATATCTAGATAAAACTACAAGTAGTTTTATCAGAGAGAGAATGATGTCACATATCTTGACTTTCAAAGGCTTATCATGTGTGCAGCTTTTGCCTAATCTGTTATGGCAATTAACCCCTTAATTGCTCAGATTATTCTCAACAAACTCTTATTCACAGCAGTGAAGGAATTACTTCCTAGTCCAGCTTTTCCTGCTATGCCTTTTCTCTGTGCTGTTTTTGTGGTACTGACAACTCACTTAATTTTGAAAGCAAGAATAAAGCTTGTTTGAGCTTTTGATATGCACAATCAGGTGTGTTCCTAATTACATCTATATCTTCTCTCAACTTCACTGGTGCTTTGAATGGGCCTGTAAACACCCACGAGCTGCTAAGTAGTGTAACTACCATAAAGCCTGACATGGCTTGGGGCTGTGGGTACGAATATGTGGCTGGCTATAGGGGTTATTTCCTGGCTGGAACTAGTTTGATGCAGATACAGTTGTGTAGATTTTGCAATAGAATCCCAAACTGAGCCTCATGTGTACTGGCCCACATGACCAAATACCAAGGAAACACCCTGTATTTAACCTTAAAGGAATTTTTTTAAAGTCAAGAGTACTTGGTCTCAGATTATAACACTTTATCACAAGCCTTAAATATATGTGTTTTTCAAATAATAATGCAGTCGTGGTAATTTAAAAACGTCAGTAGAACTTGTTTCTTCTGACTGATGATCACATGCAACCTCATATTTCTATTTGCATGCCAACATAATGTCTTAATCACTTGTAAATACCACAGTGTGGTAGCAGTAGTAGTTATATACATGTGGCATGTGCACAGCTATTTCGCTGGGCCAATGTGTCCCAGGGAAGCCGAGGTGATTAATTAGCTAATGTATATTCTCATGGTGCTGCAGTGCCAGCACTGCCTGTGACTGTGCTGGCTGATTGCCCTGCACCGTGACCTGTAATGATGCTGAGCTGTAGTAATTGCCAAGAAATGCACAGACGGCTGTCTCACTGCTTATATTAAGTGCTATGGATCTGTCTTAACCTTTTGCCAAGCCCTTGGAGGTACAGTTCACACTCACCTTGTCTCTAGGCCAGTTTTACCTGAAGACCTTGGTATTGCAAACCAGTGAAGATGGAGAAACTTTTTTTGTCTATAGCCCTGTTACCTCTGCTCCCCACCCCACCCAAACAACACCAAATCTAGTTAAAATTGCTCATTTATGTGACTTGTGAGGAAAATGTCAAGAGGAGATACCAAGAATCCATTTTTTCTATTCAGTATTGAAAGTTTGTCAGTGGTGATCCATAGCTCTCCAGTGGAAATTTAGACAACCTAGCAGTCAACCCATGTAAAACAAGCTGACTTTTTCAATGCAAGAATGTTTACTTTCATGGCTCCTGAGTAATAACAAGTTAAAACATCAGATTTTTTTCTCAGTCTTATCATAAATATGTGAAAAATGGCATATTAGAGTGTATTTAATGCACACCAGCAGTGTCTCCAAGTTTTGATACTAATGTCTGGAAAAGCTGATAACCAGTCCACAGAAAACACCAGGATGATTACTGTATTCATTACACCTGAGAAGTACGAGATGCACCCTAGATCCTTCCATTTATAATATGTTGTCATACAAAAACTGAGAGTTCTTTTCTGTTGAAGAGATTGAATACTGGTAAAGAAACTGAGATAGTGAAAGAAGAACTTCCAAAGCTATCAGTATTCTAGAAATTATTGCGTAATTTCTTTTAATTGGAGGCAACAATCAGAATTATTTTCCCCCTTAGGTTTTTCCTAGACTTTATGGTAGGAAAGGAACTAGTGGAGACTTGGAGTTTCTGCCAGATGCAGAAGTAGCCTGCAAAGAATGGAGTCATCCCTACTTCTCTGAATATATCAGCTTGTAATAAATAACTTGTCCTGGCACAGGACTGGGATTTTTTGGGAAAAAATAATATCCTGAGACATTTGTAACTGCAGATATTTTTCTCTGGAGTGATGGAAAGTTTAAAAGTGGTCTTCTGCTGTACACAGGCTTTGATGAGCCTATGAGCTGGGTAGTGTAGTCTTCAGATACACTTGCAACTTCTTGATGGATTTCTGTAGCTTTATAACTGCCATTCAGTGTTAACTGATGGATTTTAATTCCTGAACACATTTTGTCTATTTTTAAACATTGTGAAATCCAAAAAATTCCAGAGAGGATAACTTCCTTGCAGTGAGGCCACAAAAAGATTTTGGACTGCTGATCTCTGTCATAGTTGTTAATCTTAGGGTTAGTACACATATGTGATCTTAGAACAGCTTCAGAAGGCAAACTGTCCTAATCATTAGATTATAACTTTTTTGTTTCAGGCTCTTACAAAGGAGAAGAGAGAAAAAAAGAGGAATAATTTGAAAAATCCAAGCCTGCTGTGCCACCTGTGATGGGCATGGTTGGGAAGACAGGGAATTTGGACTGAAAAGATGACTAGTACTCTGCTATAAGCCAATTACTCTTCTGGAAAGATGAGTAACCTACTGTTTTAACCTACTGTTAAAAAAAAAAGTCTTTTTCCCAAGTTAATTAATATTGTCAAATTGGGCAACAGATACCAAGCAAAAATAGTAATTCTGGTCTAAGACAATTGTTTAGAAAACAGATAGCTACTAGAAAATTATTAAATCCGAGATTCCAACTCTTCAAAAGGCTTCAGCTAAATTTAACACTATTTTAACCTATGCATGACTTGTGTTCTAGTGCAACAGCAGCACTCTATTTGCCTTGGAATGCAGTGTGTTCAATTCAGCAAGTCCATCTGAGCAGATTTCCATCAATACTACATGCTCTACAAGCCATATGGGAAGTCACTGAAATGTGCTGACACATACTTAGCTATGAAGTAATTTTGCCTAAGAGCAGGTTATTTCCTAATTGCTCACCACTTGTTTTTTGGGTCACGTCTATTGTGTGTCATGCAATAAAATCACATGTCATTCAGAGCCAGGATGAGCCACGTGGGTTCCTTTTACCTTCCAAGGGCGAGAAGAATTACTGACAGAAATTATTTTTAACTGACTTGTTTTGAAATATCTGTTGTTCCTCAAACAACTGAAGTAAAACCTTCATCTTGTAAGGCTCTACTCAAGGCTGAAAAGATTACTGATAGACTTTTGGTAAGCCACAAGATGGTATTAAGTAGCAGCTGCCATTTATAAATGCTGCAAGAAGAAAAAAATGTACACTGCCTTCTTTCCCAGCAGCTGGCCATGAAATATGGATGCAGTGCTGAAACTGCTTCATCATTTCACCATTTGTCCCAAGGCTCTGATCACAGAACCATAGAATATCTGAGCTGGAAGGAACACACAAGGATCTTTGAGTCCAAGTCCTATGTGAACAGCCCATATGGGGATAGAGTGTGGATATACAAATGTTAAAGCTAAGATAAACCTAAGTGTGTAATTCACTTGTTTCTATAGAAATAACTTTTTATCCTTAGATTATTTCTGCATAGTTACCAGGCTTCAGAACATTTGCATGGCAATGTTAGGCAATGTTTGTAGGGCTCCCTTTTGTATGTGTATGGGGCTAACAGAAAGGGGGTATATACAGATGCATAGTTTTTGATTTTTAGAGTGGATTTTCTTTCTTGTCTGAAATCCCATGTCATACACAGTTGTCTGGGGCTGCAGTCTTATTGCAACAGGACAATTTGTGTGTTTTCTCATCCATCATGGGAAAGCTTGTCATGGTGGTGATTAATACCAGTAAGTAGCACTGTAACAAGAAAAGATGAGCACTGAACATGCCCTCAGCTGACTGTACTTGCTGGGTATTTGCATTCAAAGCTGTAAACTCTGCAGTCATCACCTGGCCTGTATTTCCTGTGGGTGTGTTTGGGGGTACGCATCATGATGGACTTGAAGAAGGAACCTCATATTTACAAGGACAAATTTATCTAGCTCAGAAATACAAATGGAAGTACATCTTCCAATTTGAATATATGTAGCATTTTAAAATAAAATAAAACTGACAGCTAATGTATTAAACTTCACACTCTTAGAATTAAGGCACTTGCACTTGCAGTTGCTACTCCAGAGTAGTTGCTGTCTTGATATTCTAATGTGTTAGATGTGTCTTATATAGACTTGTGCAAGTAATGTTAATGTTCAATGGTCAACTTTGCAAACTTTTTATGTAAGGCTGATTACCAGAAAAATTTAGACAGGACCATTGAACATTGTCTAATCCAGGCCTGCTCAAAACACACAGAGGCATTTTAGGTTGCTGAGGGCCATGTCAAGTAGAGTTTTAAATATCTTCAAGGATGCTGATTCCAAAACTTTTCTGGGCACCTTTTCCATGGTTTCTAAGTGTTTGCGGTTTTCTTATTTTTTTCCTTCCCCCCTATCTCATATCTGGCTGGCTCTTCTCTTGTTTCCACGTAGGTCTGCTGCATCTTGTGCTATTGCTGTAAATTTCCATGAAGGGGAAATGCCTTGCATTACGCAGTTAGTGATGGCAACACTTAAATAGATGGCATCCGTTTGTTAGGACAAAAGTGTGAACGCTTTGGCTGTGGAGACATATCCCAGACAGATACAGGTCCTCAATGCAGAGCTAAAAGATGCTAATGTTGACCTCCTTAAACATAAGTTTTGGTATGTAGATACAAATAATGTAGGCTTTTAGAACTAAGTACTGGGAAGCTGGGAAAACCCAGGGTGAAGATTGCAAGTGCAACTGCAACTTGGTCCCTCTGTTCTGCTTACAACTAGACTCTACTGGATCTGCTGGATCACAGAGATTGTGTGTGATGCTGTCCATGTCACTGGAGAGGAGCTCTGCACAAGTGGCCTTGATCCATGTGCTCGTTCACTGATGTCCAGCTTGTTCCTTCGCAATCTGACTCAGCAAAGTGCTCGAGGCTTGCAGCAGTGACTGAAGTCAGAAGGGGCTGACTTCTGAAGATTCCAGGTATGCACAGAGAGAACTGTGCTTGAAGTGTCTCAAGTGGACATTGTAAATTATCAAGAGTCTATGACTATTGCCCTTAATGACTCTGGGCTGAAACCTGACTGTGGGGCTGTTAGATCTGCCTTTTCCCAAAAAACTGGTAGGGGTCTATGGAACTTTCCACAGATTTTGCAGGGGAAATCCCCGAGGAAATGAACAGTAATAACATAGTCTATGAGATAGTGTGAACTGAATGATGAATATTAAATTTTGTGTTGTACAACTTTTATTCAGCATATGTGGGCTCTAGGCAAAGCCTTGGTGGAAGTGATAGTGCACAGGGCAGTGTTTAATTGCATGATCTTCTTGTGTCCAGGCAGCACTGTGGTGCAATCCAAGGCAGCACTTGACAGGTCCTTACTCTTCTTAAAATGTTTGACTTTTTAACCTTTACTGTTGTATTAAAGAAAAAAGCAATATTTTTAGAGATGCTGCAGAATTAGTGTACACATGAATTTACTACAGCATTTTCATGTTGTGAATTACTATGTATTTGCTTCTCCATTTCTTCCTGGGGAAGGAAGAGTAGACCTGCTTTTACAAAATTATGAATTTATTACACAGGAGCTTTACTCAGTGTTTGCTTGACAAAGAAAACACAAACAGAAAGTGAAATCATTGTTGAGACAGTTGTTACTATGCTCCCTGTAGAAGGCTGATGATATTTAATTTTTATTAAGTTTAAGGAATGGTAAGCACAAAGTTCACAGAATCGCAAAATTCTTGGGGTTGGAAGGGACCTTGGAGATCATTTAGTCCAAACCCCTGCCAAGACAGGGTCATGTAAACTGAGTGACACAGAATGTGTCCAGTAGATTTTGAATGCCTCCAGAGAGGGAGAGTCCATGACCTCCCTGGGCAGCCTCTGCCACCCTCAATGTAGAGAAGTTCTTCCTCATGCTGAGATGAAACTTCTCGTGTTTCAGTTTATCAACATTTTTCTTGTTGTGTTGCTGGGCACCACTGAAAAGAGTCTGGCACCATCCCCTTGGCACCTGCCTTTGACATATTTATGTGTTGATCAGATCCTCTCTCAGTCTTCTCTTTTCTAGACTAAATAGGCCCAGCTCCCGCAGTCTCTCCTCATAAGAGAGATGCTCCACACCCCTAATGGTTGATGTCTGATACTCTGTGGTCAATGATAGCATCTGGAGACACTAAAATTGCCACTTTTTTCATTTTTCTTATTTTTTTACTCTCCCCAGCCCCCGTCTTGATACTTTCTACACCGTTTTTGGAAACTTTTCTTTCTCAACTGCATCAATAAATGTCATTTCTCCTTCTGAGATGCTTCTTAGTATTCTCCCAGGAAAAGCAAACTTAGAATGGAGGAAGCCCTGTGACATTTTGGGCAGTTGATGTAATGAGGGATCAGGAGCTAGAGGAGATTTCTCTAGTGAGCAGTAGTGGAAGGTGTTCAGTTATTAACATGTCTACAGATGCTGATAGGTGAAGGCTTACTATCAGGAGTCTGGTTTTCCTCTCCAAGTAAAAGACCGGTATTTTCTGGGGAGTTTGGGACTGTCCTACTATTATTTTTGATTTGTCTTAAGGATTTATTGTCTTCTTTCCTGCACTTTTGTTTCTAAACTTGTACCTTCTAGAACAGTGTTCTAACAGAGTTTTGGATGTGATATCCATCACTGTATAAAATACTATGAACACATTTAAAATCTAGTATTTTGGGTTATCTTTGATGAGTTATGTTTGTTATCTGTGATTTAGTTATCACCATGATGTAGCTATTAGTTACAAATTTTCAACTCTTTTAACCAATATTTTAGTTACTTCAAACTCATTCCTCCTGTTCCTGTTTTACAGGCAGGATGAAAGACCGTTTAAGTGAGCTGCGTGAATTTGCCAGGTTACACAACCAGCAATTTTCTGATAGTGATGATGATGATGAGAATTCACCCCAGGATATTCTCCTTTATGAGACGGACTATGCCTTGGAAATCCTTCATAAGGATATACAGAGCATCCGGGCAGAAAACGACCACCTAAAAGCGGATGTCACCCGCCTCAGAAAGCAAAACACCCGCTTCCTCACCTCCATGCGCCGCCTTAGCAGCATCAAACGAGACACTAATTGCATTGCCAGAGACATTAAGAGCCGTGGAGAGAGCATCCACAGGAAACTGCAGGTAATGAGAGATTTCTGTGAAGATGCAATAACAAAATACGGAGCTATGTCTGTCATTGCCAGGGTGGCGAAGAACCACTACGTTGACCTCATGCACACATTTCAGGACGCTATGTTTGATTACAACGCAGCAGAGATGAACCAGCGGGAGAACTGCAAGATCCGAATTCAGCGGCAGCTGGAGATCATGGGCAAGGACGTTTCTGGGCACCAGATTGAGGAGATGATTGAGCAAGGCAAATGGGATGTCTTCTCCGAGAATCTCTTGTCGGATGTCAAGGGAGCTCGTGCGGCCTTGAATGAGATAGAGACGCGGCACAAGGAGCTGGTGAAGCTGGAAGGTCGCATTAAGGAAGTTCACGAGCTCTTTCTGCAGGTGGCCCTGCTGGTGGAGGAACAGGCAGACACCTTTGATGTTATTGAGATAAATATGCAAAATGTTGAGGACTATGTAGGAGATGCTAAAGACCAAGTGAAAAGAGCTTTGGAATACAGGAGAAAACATCCCCTCAGAACAATCCTCTGCTGTTGCATATCATGTTGCAGAAGGTGATGGTCCCACTGGAGCTATCACAGACTGACTTGAATGTCTTCAAAATTAGGTGTTCTTTCCAGAGACTTTTCTGTAATGACAAGCCCTAGAAATAGGGGGGATATTTTGCAGTTGGTTTTATTCATTGCCTGTTTACTAAATGTGCTGAAGGCTGTTTGTATTTATGAACTCTTAGAAATGTTGATAAAACTATTTTTAATGTAATTTTTACTGAAAGGTCCTGTTACTGTATCTAGAGATGCAATATCTCTACAGTGATACTCGTTTCATATAGGCAAGAAAGAAGAATGAATAACTTATCCCAGGAAAGATGAATACTTTTAAGAAGTTACTTTATTCTTATTTGTTGAAGTGAGGCTGCAGGCAGTGAAGCCTTATTGCCTGGGGCAGCACAGTACACCACAGAATCAGGAGGTTTCAGTTTTAACTAGTTTGGAGCCTGCTTGATACAAATTTGACAAAATACTGAGCCTGGAGCAGGGCACAGAACTAGTCTCTCTTTCAACTTGATTTTCAGCTGTCTGGAATCTTAACAGAAGTGGCTGCACCTTAAATGTTAATATGCACATTTTGCTCTATTTGTGTGCAAGTGACTGCTTTTTTCCATTGAGTATCCAGCTATCTCAAGGCAGCTAAAAGCACTGCAACACAGGTATCTCACTTTTAACTTGAACTGCTCTCACCTCTCAGTTTCAAACCTGCCATGCTTTCATGTTCTGATGACATTGGCATTTTTCTAATTGGGATTTTCCTGCCAATTAACACTTCATCCAGGGGAGAAACATGAGGTGGCCTTCTGCAGAAACCTGTATAAGATGACAACAGCTGTGGGTTGAGGAAACATTTTAGTGTCTCCTGTACAGGCACATACATAGAAGCCATTTTAGTGGAATGACTGGCCTGTCAGTACACTTTTATTTTTTATAAGCATTGACCAAATATGGATTTTTTTTCTATATCTGTTTTAAATAAGATGAAGGATTAAATTTTTTTACTATGCATTTTTACTTGTGTACAAAAAATTTTGACTTTTCCCCAATTGTTGGGAAATCTCCACCAGGGAAAGCAAACAGAAGTATTTCTTCAGTACACCTGAAGAAAAAAGAAAACAGTTTCATGCCATTTCAGTGCTCTTTTTAAGCTTCAAAGGAAACTCTCCTTTTGTGAGAGTCTGCCCTTACACAAGGGCAAATCAGAAGGTTTGGAGTATTGCAAGGAAATAAAAAATGGGCAGTCCTGGTAAGCACTGAGCATTGTCAGTGGAACATATTCATAGAGTGTGGTGATTGATCACAGCTCCTGCTTCTGGAGATTTTCCAAATATATTTCTAGGTGACTTCCTGATACACTGTGATCTATTGCTATCCTTTAAAATAATGCAGGACATTTTTTCAGATTTTTTTTTTTAACTAATGGTCCTATTTGTACCAATTTTAATAAATATATTTAAACATTTCAAATATTTTGTATTTGGGAGTATTCCTCAGATGTGCATACATGTACACCTTCCTACACCAGTTGCAGTGAAACGTCTCCCTTCTTACCTTTTGCACCCTGATTTTATGTGTGAAAAAAAACCCCCAAACATTTCTTACTATTTGTATTAATATAACAAAACAGCAAAATAAATCCAGCTTCCAAGCTTTCATGTCTGACTGGGAAACAATTTTAGCCAGACAGACTTTTGCACACAAATAGAAACTAAAGGGATAACTTTTCTCAGAATGTGATTGTCCCTTTTGTTGTAGCACTTGTCTCTAATAACATGGAAGAGTGAGGAACACAGATCTCCTAACCATAAGATATTTTGATATTCAGTGGTGTACTGGTGATATATCAGTGTTATGCTTGTCTGAGGATGTCTCCAGTGAGGTGTTCAAACTTGAAGTGTGAGAAAGGAGGGTGATAAGCTGGGACCACAGCCAGTGGCTTTGGTGCCACTCAAGAAGACAAAGTTGTTTACTCTGTAGGTACTGCCATTAAGTCAGTGGAACTGTGCATTCCTCCAAGAGTCAGCATGTGGGGATAAATCAATGAAGAATTAAATACTGTATTTCCTTCCACATGCACATTCCTAGCACTTGCCAATGTTTTTAATAAAAATTGTGTTCATGTTTTTTTGTGATGGTTCTTTTTTGCATCTACAATTGGAATAAAAGATTTAATAAGAAAAATTGAAAGTGCAGTGTTGCGCATTGAATCTGCAATAATGTTTTGCATTGTCAAAGTTCAGTTTAAAAGTTGCTAAATTATGAGTCAGTAAAAGGAGATTGAACAAGGCGTAGAAAAAAAAGGAGTCCCAATATTTGTTGCATTGGTAAATGAAATGTGTTGCAAATTGACAGACTATTGTTTTTTCCCTAAAAATCCTAAGAAAAATGAGTTTCATGCATTCTGAGATGATTCTCTAGTTTAAAAAAATCAAATTTATTCTGGCAGTTTTGAGAGACCTCAATGATTTCACTAGTAGATATGCAAAACTAGTATTCAAATCTTTAGTTTGATTTGAGGCACAAGGAAAGAGAGCAGAAAGAAAAGGTAATGGTAGACCTTCTCTCCTGATTTAGGCCGTTGCTGTAGGGAAAAAAATGAGAATTAGTCAAAAACCAACCTGATACCTTTTAAAACTTAAGCTATTTTTAAGATGCACTGTGAGTTGAGAGACGCTTAAAAATGACTTTCAGTAACTGAAGCAATCATTCTGCCATTCTCTTCCTTGCAAACACGTCCATTGCTTAATACTTTGGGGTTTTTTCTACCCTTCAGTTATGTAAGAACTCAAATTTAGCCAGCCCATGAACTTGCCTAACCACAGCTGAACAGACTTTGAAAAAACTGGTCACGCTATAGCTGCAAGGACTCATGCTACACAGGATGAGTGGAAGAGGATGATAAAAGTTGCTTGATAATATGTTAGCATACTAATAACAGAAGCTGCAGAATGGACATCTGAGGAAAGCTGCCTCCTCCTTCTGAAAGTCAGCACAACTTCTATGCAGATGTGTGTAGCACATTCTATAGGTTGGTAGGGTTTTTTCCCCCTCTTTCCTCATGTGGCAAACACTTAAACTGGGTTTGAGGGGTGAGGAAGTTAGAATCTTCCTCACAGGAGATGTTTTAGCTTTTAGGATTGCTGTTACTTTGGTTTTGTTTCCTACTGAAGCTGAAGCTTCACAGCCCACACCACCAATCAGCCGCCAACCAGTCCTTTCTGAGGAGGACAAAGAGGAACTGGCAACCAGGGACACTTTGCTCCTTCTAAAATATGTGAGACAGCACAGCATCGATATAAAAGAGACAAAAAATTCCCCTATTACAAAATACAATTTTTATTATGTAACGGATATGCATATGGGTTTCCATTTCATCTTGAGGGACTTTTTTTTTTTTTTTTAATCATGGGTTTCATTTTACAGAAATGGCAGAGGGACAATTGCTTCCTCAAAATGAAGGACCAGACTGTGGACATGCTTGCACACATGAGCAGATATCTCTGCCACATGTCTTGGGAGAAACTTCTTGAAGTAAAGGGATAGCTTTAAAGATCCAGATTTTTTTTTTTTTTCTGGAAGCTGAACTAAGCAGCTATGCAGACCTGCTGCTTTTTTAATCTAACCTGCATTAAAGATGTTTTGAATGCACAACCCAATTTTTATAATTTCTTGAAAACAAAACGTTGTCTAGATTTTTGAACTATGGTAGCTATTTAAATTGATTTGAAAAAGGAAAGAGCTACATGGGGTTGTGGTTCTATCTCTAGGAAGGTATCACAGATATAATGAAGGCAGGAAACAGTGTAATTTAATAGATACTGTATGTGGCAATTCTGGTAAATAAATTTCCAATGCAATGGGATTTTCACAGGGAGCCATGCTGTTTGTTTCTCTAATATGTAAGAAGGCAACAGCAAATCCGTCTTCTTCCACGTTTTTAGCATATTATGTAGTGTCTTCATTATGGTTGAGCCAAAACAAGGAAGAGCCAGCAGAAGACAGCTTCACCGTGCCCTACTGTGCACACATTGTCAGGGCACCAAGCCTGCACAAGAAAAAGCAACATTTTACTGTGTTTCTTAGAAATTGTGTTAGATCTGAACAGAAAAGTAAAAAACCTGACAGTGTTTCTCTACTCAATATTTTGCTGAAAGGCACAACCCTACTGAACAGAGAACTACGGCATGCCACTCATTTCAAGGCAATGATACGGCACGGCAAGTTCCATGGGAAGAGGTGTTCTTTTATTCATGAGCTCTCGGGTGTGAATAACCCGTATGGTACGTGGGAAGTATTTTCCCTCACAAGCACGCCTAGTGTCCGGAGGGTCTCTGAGCACTAAGAGCTGAGGAGCTCAGGCACCACCTGCACCTGCAAACTCGAGCCCCAGACCCCTTGCAGGGGGGCCGGGACATCCAGGGTGTCCAACACCCGAGCAGGAGGTGTGCTCCTGTTCTCCTTGCGGGGAAGCAGCCGGCCTCCGCCTGCCTCCTGGCACAGGCCCGTGTCCTCAGCCTGGGCTGTGTGGAATATGTTCCTCACACCTCAAAGGTGCCAAAGTTTGGTGCCATGCCGGATGTCCATATCCTCCGCTGGAAAGTAGCAGCGAGAGTAGGAGCCAGTGCCAGGGGTAAAGTCAGCGAAGCGACGCTCTCCCATTTCCCTATGATTCAGGGAAGGAGGGGGAGGTCCCAGGGCAGGCAGTAACCGGGAATATTGCGATAGGTGCTTCCGTAGACACGGCATATAGTGACGACCAGCAAAAAATCTTTCCCCTGCGATAATGTTCCTCCTAATTAAGCATAATTGATAGCTTTGAGCTTCGTTGGTTTTGGTTCTCCTTCTACGAGCGAGAGAAGATACATTCCAGGAAACACTTGGACGGAAATAATAAAGTGTCGGTGCCTTATCGGCACTGCCTCTCATGCCCGACGAGCCCGCCGGCACCGCGGCCCTGCCCGCTCTGAGGGGGCTGAGCCCGCTCTGAGGGGGCTGAGCCCGCTCTGCCCAGACCCGCAGTGCACCGACCCGCAGTGCCCGCAGCCCCCGCACTGCCCGCCGGCCCCGGCCCAGCGCCGCCCGCCCTGCTCTGCCCTAGGGGCGGGCCCGTGCCAGCGCCGCGCACCTCCCTCGCCTCCCCCTTCCGCTAGGGCCCGGCGCCGGGCGGCGGGAAGGAGGCGGCAGCGGGCCCGCTCGGCCCGGCTCGGTCCGGCTCAGGCCCGGCTCGGCCTTGGTCCTGGTCCGTGGCAGCGCTCCCGCCGCCGGGCCTTGCCCGCCCGCCTCCCGCCGCCAGGAGAGGCCGCCCGCGCGCCTCGCCCAGTGCGCTCGGCGCCCGCCGCGCTGGGAATACAGGCGGGCGGGAGGGAGCGGCGGCGGCGGCGGGGGGTGTGAGGGGGCACCCCCGAGGGTCGCGGGCGGCCTGGGGGGCGGTTGGCAGTGCGGCCATGAATGTAGGAGCGGCTGCGAGCCGTCCCGGTATCTGCACCAGGATGGCCGAGTGGTTAAGGCGTTGGACTTAAGATCCAATGGACGCATGTCCGCGTGGGTTCGAACCCCACTCCTGGTAATTGACGTTTTTTTATCGGGAGCCCCGTCCCGACGCGGGGCAGGGCCCCGGTGCTCCGGGAGAGGCGCGGCCGCAGCAAGCCGTGACCTCCGGGACGCGGCCGAGGGGCGGGGAGCGGCGCCGCGGCGGGCGGATGGCGGCTCCCGGCGCACGGTGTCCCGGCGCTGGGCGGCCGGCGGGGCGCTGCGGGCCCGAGGGCGGCTCCTGCAGCCCCCGTTACCTCAGCTTCGGAGTCCGAAATTAAATTGTGAAATTAAATGTAGTTTTTAAAAAAGAGTTTCTGTATATATATATATATATACAGATATATATATATGGATACATGCATACATAAGCACATAAAAACATGCACACGTTTATACATATATAAATGTGTATATTTGTGTCTGTCTATATACATATAAATAGATGTATACATACACATCTGTATATACATACATATATACATATACATACATATATACCTATAGATATAGATATACATATACACACACACAGCCACAGCCTTGGTGCTGGAGCCTTGGGCAGGGGCAACAGGCACCTCCAGTGTTGTCACCCCCAGATCATGACTTTGTTGTTTGTTGTTTAAGTTATTTTTTGTGTGGGTTTGTTTTCCTTTTTTTTCCAGTTCCAAACCCTTCAGAGGCTGCATGTCAGCCCGCCAGAGTGCTTTTTACAGCGTGAAAGTCACCGTAGCTCCACATGTGCTGGGGTATGGAATATGCTGCTGAGGTGGCCCTGGCCAGCCCTAGAGGGTGGTGGGAAGGTGATCACAACTTCTGAAATAATGGTCCCTCATGCTGGCTGTACCCTAAACTGTGCCAGGGCTTAAAGCAGAAGTTAAGCAGAAGGAGCATGCAGGACTTTCAAAAGCACTGACCTCGTGCTTTTGTTTCATTTGGCAGGACACATAGAGCAGTTGCTGTTTGCGTTGAGGTGTTCAATCTGCTGGGACATGGTTCTGTTATTTGGGTTTTGTGGGTTCTTTGACAGAGTGTTATCATTATGTTTAATATGTTTGAAGATGTGGGAAGTATGAATTCAACACATTTTTAAATAGTAGTGTTTGTCAGAGCATGCTGGTCAAATTCTTGCTCAGGTAAATGTGGTTGTTCCCAGCCACCCTGTTCCAACTAATTTGATCTGAAAAATTATTCTAAACTTTCAGTCCAGATATATCATGTCATGATACAGACTGATTGAAGGATAAACACTCAAGAAATGGATAATGACTTATGGTGGGCCTTCAATGTAATATGAAATAGAAGGTGAAATATGGCAGGATATTTTATTCAATGCTGACATTAGATGATCTGGCATCACACGTGAGTATAGTGAAAACACAGAAATATGACAGTTCAAGAGTTACAGAGGGAAGCCTGGTGTGTGGGGAATTTCTAGGAAAGGCAAGTACATATGTTGTTTTTTTGAGTGTTACCACAATAAAATTGTAAATGCAAAACATACCAGTTTCTAGAGCTGTTCATTAAGAAGTGGTACTGTCAGGTTCAGATGTTTTCTGAAGTAAACACTCATTTCTATTCTTCATTAAGGTAC